TAGAAAATTATTTATTTATGCATTTTTGTTTATGTTGTGAAGTTGAGTTGATTGTTGGTAAATTGAATGCGCTTAGCATTCTGTGGTTTCAAATCAATTCATTAAGTTTTTATGCAAATTGATTCTAAATTTTGTTTACTTTTTGAAGAATAAGTGATATTAGTTTTAGTTACCTTAAGAGCCTAAGGGGATGGTAGGGGACACTCATTTGATGTGCATTTCTAACATACATAAAATGTGAATAGGTTCATGTTAAAAGCATATTTTCTATGTCGTTTAAATTTATAACATATAAATTTTAATTTTAAATTTATAACATATTTTTAAAATTATCAGTCATATTCATCCTCATTATGATATCTTCATGTTCATTTGCAATTTGAAATGTAAAATTTGCTATATAGTGATACCTTTGCTTAATTTGGCTAATTGAGTGATAAATTCGTCATAGTTTGCCTAATTTAGTGATAAAGATTATTGATAAGTACATAAAGGATGAACAACTTACTCTCATCGCCATTGATAAATTTCAACAACAGACACAGAGTGTCATAAATAGCCCACAACAAGGAGACAGTTTGTAAGTTTATCAATAACGAAACACTTTAATAAAAAAAATGCAATGAAACCAAATGCTAATATTTTGCTCTCAAAATGTTTTTGCAGGCTTGATTGTGGAATCTGAAAAACCTAAGTGATTCATGATTAGATCAAGATTTAATTGTACCAATCCAAACGATTAAAACTAACAATCTAAATCATCTAGCACATATATATATATATATATATATGTGTGTGTGTGTGTGTGTGTGTGTGTGTGTGTGTGGGTTCAATTTCTTTTTTCACAATTTTTTCTCCACCTTACCAAGTATTAGAACTCGACTGATCCGACCATCAATCTGAAGTCTTTGATTCGATCGATTTCGATCCACAGTTCAGTTGACAATGGATGGTTGATATTTCAACCCGAAGGTGTCGGTTCGGCTGGCGGGCCATAGATAAACCCGAGCCGTACCAACCCATGAAAACCCCTAGTAAATTGAATGTGGTTAGCATTTTGTGGTTTTAAATCAATTCAGTAAGTTTTACTTTTTGGAGAATAAGTGATATTAGTTTTAGTTACTTTAGTAGCCTAAGTGGATGATAGGGGACACTCATTTGATGTGCATTTCTAATATACATAAAATGTGAATAGGTTCAAGTTAAAAGCATATTTTCTATGTTGTTTAAATTTATAGCATATAAATTTTAATTTTAAATTTGTAAAATATGTTATAAATTTAAAATTATCGGTAGTATTCATCCTCATTATGATATTCATGTTCATTTGCAATCTGAAATGTAAAATTTGCTATACAGTGACACATTTGCTTAATTTGGCTAAATGAGTGATAAATTTGTCACAATTTGCCTAATTCAGTGAAAAAGATTATTGACAAGTACATAAAGGATGAGCAACCTACTCTCATCGCCCTTGATAAATTTCAACAATAGACAGAGAGTGTCATAAATAACCCATAACAAGGAGACACTTCGTAAGTTTATCAATAACAAAACACTCTTATAAAAAAAAATGCAATGAAACCAAATGCTAATATTTTGTTCTCAAAATGATTTTGCAGGATTGATTGTGAAATCATTGTTTGCTATATCATGAGACAATATGTTTCTAACAACAACATAATACCTACTTTTTCCGATGAATAAAGTAATCAATTGAGAGCCAATATATTAACTATCTTCTTGACTAACAAACAAATTGTTCTACAACAAATAGTTGATGAAAACATTGATGACTTGCCTCCACAAGAATTAGCAGATGTGGAAGACAAAACAAAAGAAAATATTGATGAATTGACTCCACAACAATCAACAGATCTGGAAGAGAAGAAAACAAAAGAAAACATTGATTAATTTGGTTGTTACAATGTGAATAGTTCACATATTTTTCTTGTTTGGTTGTTACAATGTTACCTATATTTCGGTCATTTTGGTTTTTACTTTGCTTCAATGAATATTACAATACTTGATTGTTACAATGTCAAATTTACTATTCATGCTTGAAAGCATTCAAAATATTGATTGTAATCTGATTATTTGTGTCAAATTTAAAGATTAATAACAGGTTTAAATCCCTTGATTATTAACAAGACCCTTTTTTTTTTTTTTTGCATTGATAAATTTATCACTATTCAAACTAACAAAACCGTCACTATTCAAACTAACAAAAACCAGTAACTCTCTCTCTCTTATTCTTTTTTTCCCAATTCAAGTAAACAAAACACTATAAAAAATAATTAAAAAATTACCTAAATTGAAAATTAAAACACAAACATTGCTACATTTTTCAAATTGGAAATTAAAACACTGTTACAGTTTGTAGATATTTCCAAGTTTGGAAATAAATTTATCACTGACTTAAACTATTGCATCTGAACATGACAAGGCTAAAGCATTTCCTAGATTGAAATGTTGAACAATTTAAAGTGAAAATGAATTGCAAACTCAAAATATTTTACTTCAAGAATCCCACTTATAGTTAATGGCATAGTGGCAGTTATGTAGGATAGATTGGGAAACTTAGCCTCAAGCTGCCTACAATTGATTTGTGTTGGGTTTAAGGCACTGTAGAAAAAAACATTTGGTAGGATATAACAGTGATAAATTTATCAGCCACTGATATGAATGTAAGAAACCATCAACTCTTTCCATACAATCAGTAATAAACTTATCATTCTTGAAAATAACAATATTCAGCAATTCATTAATGCTTGATTACTTCATTCAGACAATGATAAATTTATCATTCTTAAAAACAAATAATCCACCAACTCATCCTAACCAACCAGTGATAAATTTGCCACTATAGAAAAAATCAAAAACAGCAACTACATTTAACCAAAATCAAAAAATATAAATATGTAGTGATCCCGGTTTCAACCCTTCTTTCATGTTTTGTCACTTCAACTAGGTAGGTCAGGGATTGATTTTGACCCAGTCAACTTACGGGGGTCTAGCTGCCTGGTCAGCTCACTGAAAGCAAAAATACAAAATCCATTCGAAATTGCTTACGGGAAAGTGTATTTGACGCTCGAGCGGGGCTTTCCATGCACGAGCATACCTTGTTATATCAGTCCATAAAATTAGGGTTTCATATCATTTCTTGCAGCCCCCTCTCACTCTGAAACTCTCCAAAATCTTGATCTAGTGCTTCTCTCTGTAGAAGTCACCTTCTCTCTTTGATTTCTCCAAATCCATTGGGACTTGAGCCTAAGTTCTTCACCAAAGTTGGTCATCACCTTGAGGGCTTCATTTTGTGCAGTGAAGATCGAGTTTCAACACCATTGATTTTGGGGGTTTCATCTCATTTCTTCTTCAAAACTTGAGGTAGGGATTTTCTTTGAGTTATATATGTATTTTTGCAAGATCTAGGTGGTTTTCAAAATCATCATTTGATGGCTTCTGAAAATTTATTTTGATTTAAGAAGTTGAGCGATTTTGAAAGTGGGTTTGTCTCTTGTTCTTTTAAAATAATCTTATGAGTTTTGATCTTTGTTGATTGAAGAAAATATGATTTTCGAGAGTTTTCTTTCAAAAGATTTGAGCTGTGTAGTTTGGTGAGAAAACCTAGAAATTGGGGATTTTAAAAGGAGATTGAAAATCCATGGGTAATATTGTTATATTTATTTTTGTGTGCCAAAATAAATGATGTTTAGAAAATTTCTTATTTATATTTGTATAAATGATTAATTTTGTGGATTATGAGAATTGCTGTTCATTTTAGAAATGATTATTCAAAATGTTGATATAGTCTTGAAATGACTAAATTGTTGAGAATACTTGAGAAAAGGAAATTGTGTTTATTCCTTGGATGATGATTTGGAATAAAAGCATTTTGTGTTCATCTTGTGAAATTAGCATATCATTTCATTTTATTACATTAGACTTTGAAGGTTGATTTGAAAACTTGCATTGAGAAAAGAATGTTGAGAAATAAGTTTTCATGAAATGATTTTGGGGTAAATATGTTGGTAAGTCTTGATAGGTGGTGTAGATGATATTAAATAAGTTGGCCTGTGGGTCCAGAGTGAAAGATCGAAAAATCCGCGCAGATAGGTGTCGAGCCTTCCGGTTAATACCGGTAAAAAGGACAATTTGGTAGTGCTCGTATAGTCTACTTGCAGACATCAGCCTAGGAATTACCAGAGACGTATTTACCGCCCTTAAAATAAATTGTTAAGTTTTGAACAATTGAAATTGCATGACATCATTGAGCGTGATGGTTTTCAAAAGATGAAAATGTAATTTATCTTTAAAAAGGGCATAGCATGGAATGTGCATTTCATCTCTTGAGACTTGTATAAAATGTATATATACTTTGTTAAGAAATTTCTACTGGGCTTTATGCTCACCCTATGGAATTTTTGTGCAGGAAAAGATGTGGTGATTCCACCCAACTAGGGGCGTGGAAGTATGTGTGTTGGGAGTACAATACTCTCATTTTGCATGACTCTGTTTTGTAAGCTAAGGGCTGTATTTGTATTGAGTTGAAACTCTATTTTGTGTAACCAAGAATGTTTTTGGATAAATTTGTAAGCCTGTAGGGCACTTATTATTTGTTTGGCTTCCATTTCATACTTGTTATAAAATGCATGTTTGGGATTAGAACTGGGGCATTGAGATGTGAACAATATGTGTTTGGCATTTGGAATTTAATGGAAATGGGTGTATGGATTAGTTAGCTATATATATGTGCTTGTCTATTAGGTGGGTTTTGTTGCATAAATAGGTATATCATGCCCAATTTTCGGGGCATTACAAAATATGTGAAACTTAATCTTGTAAAAATATGAGAAAAAAAATATAATTTCCATTCAAAAAATTCTTCAATCATCCAATGCAACTACCGAAATGATATATCTTTCAAAAAATACTCAATTATTCAATGCAATTAAAACCTTTCAACTCTCAACAAAGTAATTGAATTAAAATCAATACAACTAAACCAAAGCTTGTTTACATGTCTTCCGATTATGAGTTCCCATCTTTCCACACCTACTACGCCTAATTCTCTTGATTTCACCCTTAGAAGATATTCTCTCTGCTCTTAGATGTCCAACTGATCTCTTACAAAGAGGAGGTAAAACAACGTCATCATTAACAACTACATTTGGTTTCCACATATTAGGAGCTGGATAGATAGAATGCAAATACGAATAACAATAACTACGAACATGGTAGTAATCATCAAGAAAACAATTCAGATCCTTCACACTCCTCTTTATAGCACAAAAACCATGTTTGCAAGGAAAATAATCAATTTCCCACAATCGACAAGAACAAGAACGTTTTCTAATATCAACCATAACTGAATGACCCAATTGGATTTCATAAATGTCATCGCTATATTTCTTAACTATCCATGCCTTTGAATCATTAAAAGCTTTTTCTAACTTTTTCTCTGCAAAAGAACAAACAATACGATTCCACTTATTCCCAACTTCTCTCTGATTTGAAAATTGCTCTATTAGTTTCACACGTACAACATCAGCAAGATTAGTTGAAAACAAATGGAGCTTATTCCTAATCCATGAATAAAAAGATTCCGTAACATTTGTGCACATTTCACTATACATTTTGCCTTGAAAATAAGCGTTACACCAACGCTCATTAGGCAAATCCTCAAGAAATTTCTGAACACTACGACCACAACGGCCCTTAAATTCTTTAAATAGCTCATTAAACAACTCAATAGTAGGAGCCTGTGCACATCTAGTAAAAAGAGTAAGCAAAAGTAAATACTATTTAGATTCACGACTCTTCACTGACAAATAAGTCTTCAAATTTGTCTTCGAATGCATTAGACAAAACTAATGAGAAGAAAACGGAAGCACGTCAGCCAAAGCTTTCTGTAAACCTCCATGTTGATCAGTCACAAATGCAATATCCTTTCTCGCAGTCAAAATAACCAATAACTTTGACAAGAACCAATACCAATTGTGATAACTTTCACTATCAACAATGGCAAAACATAACAGATATAAACCTACAAAATATATATACACTTTATCAGTAACAAATTAAAAAAGTTAGAAAACAAAAGCAAAATGCAAAGTATATAGCATATTGCACAAATCATAGATAAATTTATCATTGTATAACTATAAAAATTCAACAGCAGCATACAACATATATAATCAATCAATAATAAATTTATTAGTGTATAAATATAAAAATTTAACAAAAGTATACATCATACTCAACCAACCAATGATTAATTTATCACTAATAGATTCCAATAACAAAAAATGATAAAATTATCACTGTTTTAAAAATAATAACAAATAGACACAAAATATACCTTGATTACCGTCTTTTGTCGTAGTAGCCAATAAACAACCTTTGTGTCTTCATTTCAAGAAAGTTCTGTCAAGCATCAACACAGGCTGACAATACTTGAAACCATGAATGCATGCCTTAAAAGCAAAAACAACCTTTGGAAATGTCTTCCTTTACTATCAATAACAAATTCCATATCAAAAACACTTCCCGGATTAACCTCATTAGCGGCATCAACATACCAACGAAGATCGTCAAATGACGATGAATAGTCACCAAAAACAGCACTCCTTGCTTTTTCAACACCCATCCAAGCTTGTCGATAAGAAACTTTTGTTCCATATTAATCCTTGAAATCATAAACCACCACACTAACTGATGTCAAAGGCTTATTACGAACCTCACTTGAAATTATCTCACCAATCACACTTGAAGTCATCCTAGCATGTTTAACTGTACGAAAAGAAGATCCACACGTATGAACATCATCAAATTGTTTAATAACAAAAGCTTTACTAGAATTTTCCAATATAGCATGTACGCTCCATAAACATCCCAAATCAACCCTTCTCTTACAATGAACAGTGACACGATCCTTATCATTCTTAACAAAATCAAAATCAAAACCAGAATGAATAGAATACTTTGACAACGCATCCCGAAATTCAACAACTCTTTGAGCAAACCTTTGTCCCACTCCTTTCATACAATTAACCCAACCATCAAAGAGCAAAGGTTTCCATTGATTTGAATAAAATGAAGACAAAAAATCAGTTTCACAAACAACACTACTACTACTAGTTTTACCATTACAAATCATATAACCTTCACCCAAAGAACAACACTTAACAAAAACATCAATACGATGAATATCACAAGAAAGTGCAAGTCCAAGCATAACCTGCCCAAATCCTCTTTACTTTCTAGACCACAACAAGAATGTCTAGGTATTGAATATGAAAGATTCAAAGAACTGCCAACTAACTCACTCCATTTTGCACACAATTTATATACTAAATCCTTGAAATTAAATCTATCATTATACTTGATAACCAATGTCACACCTCTAAACTTGTACATAAGAAACAAAGAATTATCCATCATTATAAATCCTGTCACAAACAAAAATTATATTTCAATAAACAACTCAAACAAACTAAAACAAATTCTAATACCATGATAAAATTATCAACCAACTCAAACACATCCAAAAACCAACAGTGACAAATTTTATCACTATAGAAAATAACAAAAATTACCTACACAATTAAACCACTATGCAACTTTTTCTTCTCTTATTCCCATACTCATTGATAAATTTTAGCACAATAGAAAATAACAAACCAGCAACTGTGTTCAACCAAAATAATTTTGCAACAAAAAAAATTTAATATTCATCACATATACATATCTCAAACCTTTCAATGTCATCATCAAAATAAAAATTCAATATCAGAAACAATAACATCATAACAATAATATCAAAAACCAAATCAAAATCACAAACTCAAACAAAAAGTATATAACTCTGCATACATAACCAAACAGTTTCCAATATCGACAATTCAACAAAATCAAAGAATCGTAGAATCATATAATTGCATATATATATATATATGTATATCAATCACACGAACCAAAAACCTAATAAAATCACGAACCTGATCACAAAAATCAACTACAGTCGCATCAGAACTCCATGATTATCAACTGCAATCAACTCCGAATCGATTATAACTCAACTCCAAACTACAAACAGATTTCACTCACCAATAATCTCCAAGTAAATCAGTTCCATTCACTCAGGAATCAGTTCCATATTCAAATTCCTGCTCCCAAAAGCTCACAAAAATCAAATAGAACCAAAAAATTCAAACCAAATGCTTGAAGTATAACAATAGGGGCAAAATTGGGATAAAAAAAATATAATAGTGTGTGGGTGATTTTCCGACCACACTGCCCGCTTAGTAACCAGCTGGAGAGCACTGGCAGAATAGATGGCACCTGACTGACCTGCAACAGAAATATAAGAATCCCGCGGTGGTTTTGACCACCCGGGGGCACTCCGACGATCAAGTCAGTATATCTCTCAAAGATAAATCAAGTACTAAACTCACAAACTTGAGTATAAAAAGCATACCTTAGACCCATGAGGGTGCCTCTCTTTTATAGCTAATACAATCTTAGTCCCAATAGGAGCCTGACCCTAATGGACTTAGGATTACTGCTAATCTGGGACTCCCAGTGGGATTAGGATAAACTCTCTAAGAGTCTTATCTTTACCCAAACTGAAGTCTTCTCCCAATCTAGGACTCTTGTCCATATCCAAGTTGAGTTCCCTCTTCATTCTAGGACTCTTGTCCCTTATCCGCTTATCTCGGATTCCGATATCTTCGGAGATAACCTCGGCCTTGCCGAGATCACCTCGGCATCACGACCAGGACACGTGGCACCTCGGCTGACACGTCGGCGTCACCTTGCCACGTGTTGGTACTTAGAAAATGTATCCCCACAACTAAATGTATGTCGTCTTAAGTGCAAATATTTTACAATATATTTTTTGTATGCCGTGAAAATATGTATTTTTTACGGCATGCTTTTGGATGCCATAAAAAAAATTCCGAGCCGAGGTTCTGGTTCCATTAATTCGTAAACTCCAAGAGCTTTGCAACTGCTCCACTCACACTCTCTGGTGAGTTTCCGATTTTTAGTCATCTATTTGACTCCGGCGATTTTTATATCGACGTTTATTTGGTAGGTTCATAAATTCTCACTTTTTTATTAAGCTCAATCTTTCAAAACTCTTCTGATTTACTTTGAATCTGTTTATTTGCCATCTGTTGCCTTCTATTTTCGTCTTTCTTCAAGTTTTAAATTGTTTGAATGCCTGGCACTGTTCTTGTTATATCCGCTTTCTGTTGCTAGCATCATGTCTGGTTCATTACTTTCTTGTTCTTCCCATACTTACTTAGTGTTTGTGTACTTGGCTTTATTCTTTGAACTTTGTCATCTTCTTGACTTCTGTTTTTTCTCTTCTTGTTTTTCTTGTTGTATTTCCAGATTCTTGCCTTCGTTTCTGTTTTTCGCATAGTCTTAGAACCACGTCCCTTCTTGAAATTGTTGCCGAGATAGTGGTAGAGAAGCTCTTCCAGCTGATTGCCAATGCTGAACCACCGTCAACCGTTTGAAGTAGATTAGTCCGATGTTCTTGCCTTAGTCCCTAGTTCTTAGGGTCTTCATCTTTGTACTTTTGTTTTCTTTGCATATGTCACCTTTTTTGCTTCTGAAAAATGTCTGTTGTTGGCCGATGTTAACATCCCTTGCTCCTTGATTATCATTCCTTTTTCCACTGTATTTGATAGCCATGTTGGGTAATTGACTTCTCGGATTTCCCTGAGCTCCAGAAGTCTGTCTACTTCTTCCTCTACTGCTTCGACGTGCATCAATGTTGGCCCTCTTGCTCGTTGGATTACAGGTTTGGCCGACCTGTTGACGTTCAATTTGTGGCATGTGACCTCGAGGTCAATGCCAGGCATTTCATAAGGTGTCCAAGCAAATACCTCAATGTTTGCTCTCAAACAAGCTTCCAATTCTCTTTCTTCTTCTTCGGCTAAGCTTGAGAAGAAAGAAGCGTTCTTCATCCCCCTCCTAGATGAGGATTTTATTTAGTGCCTCTTCACTCTTCTCGGCTGGCTCCTTGCCGACATCATCTAGGACCTCTATGTCCTCGTTTTCAATCTCTGCCTTCTCTGGTTCTCGAATGCTGCAGGTGGATTTCATTGCTGCCATGGAGCAATTCTCCGCCTGCAGTTGATCCCCTCTGACTTCTTCAATCCCATGTTCTGTTGGGAACCGCAGTAGTTGATGCAATGTTGAGGGAACTGCCCCCATTGTATGCAACCATGGCCTTCCCAAGATAATATTGTATGTCGAGGGTGTGTCAATCACCATGAATTCTGTCTTGATCTTCTTCTAACTGCTCTTGCATGATTCTATACTTAGAATATTTTGCATGTTCTTTCATACTTTGCCTCCTTTGTGTGATCTTCTCGAGGTTAAATACCTCGGGTATAATAGCTACAAAACTTTTACTTCGGCAAGATACTGACCTGCAAACTTTTCATAAATTCTAACAAGTGTGAAACATATACTACTCAATGTTAACTTTGCAAACTTTTTCTCAAGTTTCAACAAGTGTTTAAACGGTGATCTCGGTCTAGCCTACTTGTAAATTGCTACAAATTTCAACAAGGATTAACATAACAAGTGTTAAACAATAATCTATTTGTAAATTGCTACGAATTTCAACAAGAATTAACATATACTGTAACAGGGATCAACAAGGATTAACATAACAAGTGTTAAACAATAATCTATTTGTAAATTGCTACGAATTTCAACAAGAATTAACATATACTGTAACAGGGATCAACAAGGATTAACATAACAAGTGTTAAACAATAATCTATTTGTAAATTGCTACGAATTTCAACAAGAATTAACATATACTGTAACAGGGATCAACAAGGATTAACATAACAAGTGTTAAACAATAATCTATTTGTAAATTGCTACGAATTTCAACAAGAATTAACATATACTGTAACAGGGATCAACAAGGATTAACATAACAAGTGTTAAACAATAATCTATTTGTAAATTGCTACGAATTTCAACAAGAATTAACATATACTGTAACAGGGATCAACAATCTCAGCTTAACTTCAACTTGTAAATTGCTACAAATTTCAACAAGTGAAGATAAGGAACCATCTCAGCTTAACTTTAACTTGTAAATTGGTACAAATTTCAACAAGTGAAGATAAGGAACCATCTCAGCTTAACTTCAGTTAAGCATCATCTCGGCTTAACTTCGGTTAAGCATTGTCTCGGTTTCACTTCGGTTAAACATCATCTGGGCTTAACTTCGGTTAAGCGTCATCTCGGCTTAACTTCGGTTAAGCATCGTTTCGGTTAAACATCATATGGGCTTAACTTCAGTTAAGCATTATTTCGGCTTAACTTCAGCTAAGTATCATGTCACGCCCCTAAACCCGCCCCTAAAAGTTTGGGCATGACCACTTCAGAAACGGACACTTAATCTGTTATGTATATAATATATGGGGCCTGAACGGAAGCATTAAATATCAAAATTGACAATAGAAATAAAGTCCATTGAGCTACTACTATCATGCCAGGATCACAAACTTTAAACAGACAAACAAAATCTAAAACATACGTCTGAATATCGAATATATACGTACATGTACACAAGCCCAGCTCTATAATTGGGCATACACCAAAACATTT